GGCTGGGAAGGTGGCTCAGTGGTAGAGTGCTTGCCTTACATGCATGAGGCCCTGATTTGATTCCTCAGCACCATATAAACAGAAAAAGCTGAAAGTGGTGCTGTGGCTCAAGTGGTAGAGCACTAGCCTTGAGCTGAAGAGCTGAGGGACAGCACCCAGACCCAGAGTTCAGGCCCCACGACTGACCAAAAAACACAACAAAACAAAAACAAACAAAAAAAAACACCTTACCTATGCTTTTATTTTATTTATTTTTTGGGGGGGGTACCCATCCTGGGGCTTGAACTCAGATCCTGGGTGCTGTCCCTGAGTTTTTTTAGCTCACGGCTAATGCTCTACCATGTGAGCCCCAGCTCTACCTCTAGCCTTTTATTTTGGTGGTTAAATAGAGATAAGAGCCTCATGAACTTTGCTTCCCTGACTGGCTTCTAACCACAATGCTCAGAGCTCAGCCTCCTGGGTAGTTCAGATTACAGGCATGAGCCACTGATGCCTCACATTATATCATTTTTTAAAAAGCAATGGTATTAATAGGTAACATTCACTAGATCCATACCAAGCAGCCAGTATTGGATAAAGGCCCCTTACAAATATTACCTTGCTGAATCCTTTTTTAAACTGCTCCTAAAACAGCACAGGGGGAACTGGTGTCCCTCCATCCAGGGGAAGGGAGTGGGAGGAAAATGCACCTGATCATGGAGCCTCAAAGTAGAAGGATCTCCAGGAGTGCTTGCCAAGCCCAAGCCTAGGAATCCCCATGATGGATGCTCTCAATAGGTCCAGTTTATGCAACCAACTGCTCCTGGTTTTTTCTTTCTCCAATCCACTCCATTGCTATTTCTTGCTCCTTTGTTTCCTAACTCCCTATTCCTCTGAGCACCTCTCTCTTAATTTGCCATCAGTATGAGTGTCTTCTCGGCATCCTTTGGTTCATCTATGTCTGCTATCTCATGACCCGTGCGTAGATCACAGGACTCTTCTCACCCTTGCTGCCTGCCCTTCACCCAGCCGGCTCTGCAGAGGCTGCAGGCCGCGCATGCGCACCTGCAGGTGCACCTGCTGGGCGTTTGGCCCTGGATGAGGACCAAGTCTTCGCATCCTGCAACTGCAGCTGTGCAGGGATCTGCAGGAGCTGGTGTTGGGTCAGTGCAGTGCACAGTGAACCTTTCTGGGCCCTAATACTCGGGTTCTATCTCCATGTGCTCCAAACAATGTGTTCCTATTTCCAAATCTATCCTTCATTCAGAGTCTTGGGGTTATGCCCTGGCCTCTGGAATGGTCTTCCAGGAAGTTAGTGGAAGTTGTGTCCTGGGTCTGCTCTTAGAGCAGTATGGCCTTATGCCAGTGGCTTGATTTCCCTGAGGTGGGAAAATAATAGTGCCACGCTGAGAATTGAGTGGAAATTTCTGAGAACTCTAGGCAAACTAAGACAACATAAGGGATAGAGATCATAGGGTACCCTTTCATGATGGCCATTTTTCTGACTCTTCAGAGCCACCTTATCTGCATGGTTTAATGCCTTTTTACAGGTGGAGAAATCATGACTCAGAGATGTCAAGAACCAGGTCTTAAATTACACATTTAGAGCGATTCCAGATTGACACCCCACAGTCAGGGAATCTTGGGTGAGTCCACAGTCTGTCACCCTGCTTGTTCTTTGAATAATCAGTTCTGATTTTTGGGACATCCTTAGCACACATCTCTGGTCCACACCTACAGGAAATAATTCTTTTTTTGTTCTTCCCTCAGCAGAAATTAAGAAGCTGCTATATCTTTCTTTATTTTATTTGTTTAGCTGTTTTGTTTGTTTGTTTGTTTTTGGTGCTAATACTGGGGTTGAACTCAGGGCCATGTATTCTGGCTTGGCTATTTTTCTCAAGGCTGGGCTTCTACCATTTGAGCTATAGCTCCATTTTCAGCTTTTTGGTAGTTAATTGGTAATAACAGACTTACAGACTTTTCTGCCCAGGTTGGCTTTGTCAGTGAGCCTCAGATTTCAGCCTCTTGAGTAACAAGAATTACAAGTGGGAGTCACTAGCACCAGAACATGGCTTTTTTTTCTTGTTGTGGGGCTTGAACTCTGGGCCTGAGTGTTATACCTCAGCTCTTCAGCTCAAGGTGGGTGCTGTACCGCTTGAGCCACAGTGCCACTTCCAGTTTTCTGGTGTTTTATTGGAGATAAGAGTCTCACTGACTTTCCTGCCTAGGCTGGCTTTGAACCATGATCCTCAGATCTCAGCCTCCTGAGTAGCTAGGATTACAGGCATGAGCCACTGGTGTCTGGCTAGAACACAGCTTCCTGAGGGCAAAACTGAACTTTCATGGCACTCAGTAAATCCTCATTGACCCATTGACAGGATGAATGGCAAGAGGAGCCCTTACCATTCCTACTCCTTGGCCACTAAATGACTTTCCAGATCCTACTTTATATTTTCACAGTAGATGCAGAAATTGTGGTATCTCTGCTGACACATACCAGCTGGCTAAGGAAGAAACCTGTAGCCTCCCAAGTGCATCCTGGGTCCCTTCATCAATACAAACCATCTCCTCCTCTAAATATGCCCAAAAGCTGTCATATGTTCTGTGGACCAAAATGTAAAGGAATGATACATTATTACCTTCTCTCTATGAAGTCATTCAAGGGTTCTTTTGAGGTAGATTTGGGTAAAAGTGAGAAGATGATAACTTTGGCTTGGAGCTTGTGACTTGAGCTAGGACATGTGGTTTCTTGTCTACAGCTGACCAACATTGCCTCCATGAATTCAGAAAAGTCCTCCTTAGGCTTCAGCTTTTCTCTTCTTGTTCAGTATATAATAATGGCTCAGAATTTAGATTCTAGAATTGGATCATTCCTTGATCACTTATTACCTATGCACTTGGGCTCTACCACTTTGAGCCACAGCTCACAACTCCACTTCTGATGTTCTGGTGGCTAATTTGCTATAAGAATCTCACAAGATGGGGCTGGGAAGGTGGCTCAGTGGTAGAACGCTTGCCTTGCATGCCTGAGGCCCTGGGTTCGATTCCTCAACACCACAAAAGCAAAAAGAAAAAAGCCAGAAGTGGCGTTGTGGCTCAAGTGGTAGAGCGCTAGCCTTGAGCTGAAGAGCTGAGGGACAGTGCCCAGGCCCGAGTTCAGGCCCCACGACCGGACCCAAAAAAAAAAAAAAAAAGGAATCTCACAAGCTTTCCTGCCAGGGCTAGCTTTAAACCCTAATCCTCATGTCTCAGCCTCCTGAGTAGCTAGGATTACAGGCATTAGCCAGTAGCACCTGGCCTGGTCCAAATCTTTAATGAGTGTTAACTGATTTTTACTACTAGCTTGCCTGTTCTTTTTTTTATTAGCTCAACTTGTTTTTCTTTGGAAGCAGAAGTAAGCTTGCTCTGTTATTTGTTTGCTCATTTATTTTGCCAAGATTCAAGCATGAGGCTTTTCATGAACTGGGCAAGTGCCTCTTACCATCAGGATACATTCCCAACTCTTGTTCCTTATTTCAAAAACAGTGTTCACCATTAACAATGAAAGCCCAGTGAAGCCAAGTACTGGTTTCTCATGCCTATAATCCTAGCTACTCAGGAGGCTGAGATCAGAAGATTGAAATTCAAAGTCAGCAGGGAAGGAAAATACATGATACTCTTATCTCTAATTAACCACTAAAAATTTGGAAATGGAAATGTAGCTCAAGTGGTAGAGTGCCAACCTTGAACAAAGAAGCTAAGGTACAGTGTGTACTGCAGGCACTGAGCTCAAGCCCCATTACTTGCGCAAAGAAATTAAAAAGTCCAGTGAGAACCCTCATAGGACCATTTTAGTGAAGGTAGTATCTAGGAAGGAGATGCTAAGTTCAGAGTTGTTTCTATACCATATTCCTATTAAGAACTTCTGAACTCTAGACAAGGATGGTATTCTATGCCCAGAACAGCAGATTACACATAGTCATGGGAGAACAATAAATATTTGTTAATGAATGATTGATGCACCGTCTGGCAGTAAGTTTTATACTTTTTCCAACTCTGAGCCTCAGATTTTTTTTTTTGTGCCAGTCCTGGGGCTTGAACTCCGGTCCTGGGCACTATCCTTGAGCTTCTTTCTGCTCAAGGCTGGCACTCAACCACTTGAGCCACAGTGCTACTTTGGGCTTTTTCTGTTTATGTGGTATTGAGGCTTCATGCTTCAACACTCCATTCCCAGCCTGAGCCTCAGATTTTTATTTTTTGGGTCCGGTGTTGGGGCCTGAACTCTGGGCCTGGGCGCTGTCCCTCAGCTCTTCAGCTCAAGGCTAGCACTCTACCACTTGAGCCACAGCACCACTTCCGGCTTTTTTTCTTTTTTCCTATGTGGTGCTGGGGAATCGAACCCAGGGCCTCATGCATGCAAGGCAAGCGCTCTACCACTGAGCCACCTTCCCAGCTCCGTGAGCCTCAGATTTTTAAAAGACAATCTGGGAATGCAGATTAAAATCAATACTTGATTTATTGTGAGGTTTTAGTGAGATGATGCGTCTAAGGTGCTTGATACATACTAATAGCTCAGCAAATGGTGGATCTATGGATCTAGACACCCAGAAAGATAGAGATGGTACAGAGGTACCTCACATTGCGTTGTGTCTAAGAGTGGTTCTATTAATTCTTAAAGAAATCCTTCTGTGGCAGGGAAATATGGACAGTTCCAAGAAGCAGGAAAGATAGCACTGTAGAGGGGTTTTCCGAAGATTCCTGCTGCCAGAGATCCTGGTGCAGAGGCGGTAAATAGGACTTTAGGACCCTGTGCTCTGGCTGCGCGCGCGCACGGCTACCCTAGAGAACTCACTCGCGTGCACGCGCTCGGCGCGTGAGGTGAGGGGGAGGGCGCGACTCCCGCACCAGCCCAGGGGCCGCCTCACGCCCAGCCGCATCCCAGAGGGCGGAGCTGAGCATCCGGGCCGCGATTTGATTGGTGGCGAGGCGCGGGTGACGCTGACGGCTGGGCTAATCCCCGCCCCCTACGGCCCGCCCCTCGTGCGCCGCTGGCTCCACAGCCTCTCTCTGGCCGGCGCCGCGCCCCCGAGCCGAGTCCGCGCGTCAGTGGATCCGGAGCGCGGCTGCGGGGCGGCGGGCTGCAGCCAGCAGAGCGCGCGGGTCTGGGGAGGAGGTGGTGGTAGTGTCCGCGAGCATCGCCAGAGGAAAGTCGGAGCCCAGAGACTCACCCAGCGCCATGGCCCCCATTGGCCTCAAAGCCGTGGTCGGAGAGAGTAAGTAGAGGCAGGTCCTGCCCGCAGGCGGGGTCTGCGGCTGCCCCCGGGAAAGCCCGGTCCCTGGGCGTCAGTGCCCGGGCCTCCATCAGGCCCGGGGTTCCGAGCTCGCAGGGCTCCGTTATCCGGTGCCGTCGCCCTCCCTGAGGGAAGTCTCACTGGGCCTCCCGCGGTCCGGCCGCCCAGCCTGCCGCCTCCCCTCCCCCGCCTCCCCTCCCCCCCATTCCGCAGGCCTGCTCCACCCCTGCCCTCCACCTCCGTCACTCCCTCCATCCCTCCATCTCTCCCTCCTCCCCGCCCTCCCCTGCTCCCCGTGTCTTCATCGACACCCCTCGTTCCTTCTTACCTCCACCCGCGCTCACCTTCGCCGCTGCATCTCTCCGAGTCCCCGGTCACCTCATCCCGTCTCCGCAGACCCCAGTCTCTCCTCTGCCACCCTGCCCTGCTACCCCCGCCCCCAACCTACCAGTTCCCTTTTCTGCGGCATCACCCCAGGCACCCCAGCGCTTCCCCTGCCCACTTCCCCTCTCTCCTCCCTTGCCTTCTTTATTCCCCGAGTCCCCCTCGATCCCTCTCCTTTTTCGGTCGCCAACAGTTCCCCATTTCCCACCCTCCCTTGTGAATCGTGATGAGCGAAATCCCGGCCTGCATCCTCCCTCCTCTCTCCTCCCTTTTCCTTCTTTCTCCTCCCCTCCCCTCTTCCCCCCCGGCCCCCCCACCCCCTCTGCGCTACTCCCTGGAGCCAAGCCGCGGTCCCCTTCCGCGGGTACCCACCTGGGAGCGGCTGGGCGCGCGCAGTGCAGCCCGGGGCCACTCCTGCCCGATCTGGGGCGGAGACGCCTGTTTGCCTGTTTTCCTAAAGCTCTGGGTGGAAGCCGCCAGGCTCTCTCTTCCTCTCCTTCCTGGGGCTTGGCTTTGAGGGCGGGGTCTTATCAGGGTCGCGAACCCTCTTCTGTCACTGGGGAGATGCGGAAAGCTGGCCCTGCCCAGCACCGCAGTCTGCAGGGCTCAGCCCCTGGCTTGGCTAAAACCAGACAGGCAGCACAGACGGCTGCAGCAAAGAGGAAATGGTTGTTTACGGGCTTGGATTTAAAAAATTAAAAAAGGTGGTAGTGGTGAGTGTCTGCTCCCCGAGAGGGCTGCTGGTGGGTAATATATGGAAACCAGCCTTCTCGGAAGAAAATAAGATGGGTGATCTGTGTAACAAACAAAAATAGCACAGCTTCAGTATTTTATAACAAAAACAATGCACGGGGATTGCTGTGGCTTTTGCTACCTCTTCGGAGATTAAGAGAAAATAAAAACTGGCCTTTTCTCTCTAGGAGAGGATAAAAAAAGGAAAAAAAAAGAATGAAAATGGTGGATATTTGTGTAGAGCTTCCTTTGCGGTGATCCTTTCCTATTATAGCCACCCCTTCCCCCTTCCTGGTATGGAATGCTTTTATGCTTTTGACTGTGTAGTATTGTTTTTGAACATCATAACAGAAGTGGATTTTCCCCCCTCCTTGTTCTTTTCATTGGTAAATGGGAAATAATTCCTACTGGGGAATCTTGCTGTGTTATCTTATCTGACCTATTCCATCTGAAGAAAATGGCTGTAAGAATGGAACCCCAAGTGAACATTTTAAAAAATGTTTACTATAACACCCATGATAAAAACCCATGCAGTAAAGGTTCTGATACTTGAGCTGTTTCTGAGGAGAAATGTTTAAGGCTAAAAGGATCCATAGGGATTTCTAAAGTCAACAACCTCCTTTCCCCTGCCCCCTCCCCTCCATGGAAAGGAAAGAAATGGAGAGTTGGAACAGTTAAATGACTTGCTAAAACCAGTGTTAATTAAAGTTTAAAAAGCTAGTGTCCATTTCCTTGCAGCTTTAGTAAAAGATAACTTTGTCCACTCTTCTGTGTATACAATTATCCTTAATAACCTCTTTCAAAAAGGATGGAATGGAATGTTACATGTTTCATTCAGTACACATAGTGCACTATGTGTCAGAGAAATCATGTTTTGTTTGCATCTTTTTTCCAGAATGCTTGTTTATGTAAGCTTCTCACTCTCCATCCTTTGACTCCTTTTTTTGGGGGGGGGGTCGGGTCGTGGGGCCTGAACTCTGGGCCTGGGCACTGTCCCTCAGCTCTTCAGCTCAAGGCTAGCGCTCTACCACTTGAGCCACAGCACCACTTCTGGTTTTTTTATTTTTTGCTTATGTGGTACTGAGGAATTGAACCCAGGGCCTCATGCATGCAAGGCAAGCGCTCTACCACTGAGCCACCTTCCCAGCCTTTTGACTCTTTTTTTTCCAAAGAAGCAAGCATCATAAAGGTGAAAGAAGAAAATTAATTTGCAATACAATTAAAATTATTTATTTATTGAAACAAAGCAAAATGACTGGTATACAAAAATAAAAACAAGCCAATTTTACGTAAAATTGGTACATGTGAGAACAGGATACTATTCCCCTAACCCATGAGTTAGATATAGATTTTGGGAAACTGTATTATTGCAATCTTTATTCTGACTCCTAATTTCAGATGGGATTTCTAGCAATGTTTTTTTCTCTAAAAAATAAGAATGATATAAAGACATTTTCTAACTACTGTGCACCAATTACAAAACCTTCACAGACTTGTTTTATAGTCTAGATTAATATCCTATAGTATACCAAAACTACGAGGATGGGAAACATTTGGTTAGAGCTTACTAGAGTCTTAGCTGACAGCTGAGTCAAACCTGGAACTGTTCTCACTCTTTTCGGGATAAACACCATTCTGGGAAGTTTTTCCTGTCACTTCCTTAACCCACTTAGAACATACTTAGTGTAATGCACTTATTTTATTGGTCTTGTCCAACTAGACTGTAAATTCTTTAAGGGAGAGTAGAATCTTGTCTCATTCTTATGTCTAACCTTAGTGCTTGAATTAGTTGCTGGTACCCAGTTACCGTTCAATGAATGACACTAAAGCATAATGACTACTAGAATCTGATATTAGACTTCTGGGATAAAATTCAGACCCATTTTATGCCTCAATTCCTTCATCTATAAAGTAGATAATAATAACACTTTATCTTGTGGAGTTTATGAGTTTAAATAAGAGCAGGCTGGCATAGCACTTAACACAGTTTCTTACACATAGTGAATTTAGTAAATATTATCATTATAAAAAAATCCATAGGGAGTAGTAAAAGTGTTAAGATGTTGTGCACTCCTGTAATTCAAGCACTCAGGAGGTTGAGGCTGAAGCATTGGGAGTTTTGTACCAGCCCGGGCTACATAGCAAGTTCTAGCTAGTCTGGACTACACAATGAGACCTGTTTCAAACAAACAAAAAAAGAAAAATGTTGAAGGACTTGAGAAAAGAAATAACCTATCTCTATTCTTGGAACTGTGGTTTTGGTGGAGAAAATAGACTGGGCAAAGTTCTTGAAAGAAGTGCAAAAAATGAAAGAATCAAATAGAACATATGGCTAGAGCCAGGTGTGATGGTTTATACCTGTAATCCCAGCACTTGGGAGGCTGAAATAGGAGGGTCTCAAGCCTGGGCTACATAGAGACCTGTCTCAGAAGCAAACAAACAAAAACCCAAAACAAAAAACACCTTTTTTAGATGGGACAATGATTCATAGATAAAAGTTGAGAAGTCACTTAGATTGAAGCAGTCTTCAGTCTTATTATTTGCTTATTTGTGTACTTTTTTGTGGGGGAGTGTAGTCATAGGGCTTGAACTCAGGACCAGGGCACTATCCCTGATCTTCTTTTGTTCAAGGCTAGCACTCTACTAGTATTTTCAGACACAACTCCACTTCCAGTTTTCCAGTGGTTAGTTGAAGATAGGAGTCTCGAAGGACTTTTCTGCACAGGCTGGCTTTGAACCCTGATCCTCAGGTCTCAGCCTCCCAAGTAACTAGGATTACAGGTGTGAGCCACCAGCACCCTGGCCTTGTATTTACCTATTTCTTTATCTTTTGTGTCAGAACTGAGACTTTACCTTGGGTCTCCAACTCCCTCTCAGTTTTTGTTGTTTTTGGTGCCAGTCTTGGGGCTTGAACTCAGGGCCTGAGTGCTATCTCTAAGCTTTTGTTGCTTAAGGCTATCCTCTACCACTTGAACCATACCTCTACTTCCAGTTTTTTGGTGGTTAATTGGAGATAAGAGTCTCATGGACTTTTCTGCCTGGTCCTCAGCTCTCAGCTTCCTCAGTAGCTAGAATTACAGGTGTGAGCCACCAGCACCCAGGTCACTCAGCATTTTTGCTCATGGTTGGTTCTCTACTGTTTGAGCCAGTCTAATATATTGCTGATTAATTGGAGATATGAGTCTCTTGGATTTGTCTACCCTGGCTGGCTCTAAACTGTGACTCTCAGATCTTAGCTTTCTCAGTAACTGGGATTACTGTGTGAAAAGTTAGAAACCTGTGGTTAGCCTATACCTACTTAAGTATGTATGTATATATATATATATATATTTGTGTATGTGTGTGTGTCTGTGTGTCTGTGTCTGTGTCTGGTCGGGGGGCCTGAACTCTGGGCCTGGACGCTGCCCCTCAGCTCTTCAGCTCAAGGCTAGCACTCTACCACTTGAGCCACTAGCGCCACTTCCAGCTTTTTTTTTTTTTTTTTCTGCTTATGTGGTGCTGAGGAATCAAACTCAGGGCCTCATGCATGCAAGGCAAGTGCACTACCACTGAGCCATCTTCCCAGCCCATATATTTTGAAATATATTAAATACTTCTTGATGTTTTTAATTTAAGAATCAAAGCACAGTTTTCACGAAAAGAGTGAATTCACTAAAAAGTGAACAGTTCCTCAAAGTTCAGCTATCATATACAATTGTAAAGCCACTACTATAGTCAAAATAAGAGAATAGTAACCCTCCCCCAATTCCCTTATGCTATCCCTTTATGATCAGTTTCTTCTCCCATCTCTGGCCGCTGGCGGCTAGTCAACTAATTTCTGTCCCTATGTTCTTTTGTTTTTTTTTGGCCGGTTGTGGGGCTTGAAT